AGTGGTAAATAAACATACAACAGAGAAGACTACACAAAGAATCACCTAGCAGAGCAGGATGGAATTAAAACAAAAATATAGACATGACTTTGGAAAAATCAAAAGAGAAAAAATAAAACTGCTACACTGAGAAAAGTATTTTCATGTATATAAAGATATTTGTGATCAACTAGCATACAAATTATCTTCTCTACTGAGAGCTAAACTGAAGCCTGTGGAAGAAAGAATTATAACTGATTACACCATGTTTAAGGAATATGTTAAAACTCAGAGCTATTCTACAACATTCGTGAGATTAAGCAAATTGCACAAATTACTATGAAACACTCATAATTTCATTTGTCATAAAAGAATGTTATTCAAAATTTGTTAACTGAAATTAAGCATATTTATTTGCATACTGAGAGAGTCAACCAGTGTTATGAAATTCACATGTAGGAAGAATAGTTTCTCCTTTTCATTATCTGATGGTTATTTTTAGGTGCACGTGACTATGCTAATAATCTCTACCCTACATTTTTAAAAGTAGAATATATACATAACAAGAATTTCATATAAAACAAAGCCAGTCTGCCCACACATTTTTATTATCATGAACAATAATTTCCAGATGGATTTTACTCCACACTTCTCAGTGTTATTTGCTGCTAAGCATTTAGTTGTTAGAGATCACTGGAATCTAATAATAAGAGAAGCATTCAACCAAACCTAAAAAATACCCAGATCGTGGTTTAACTGGTCTTGAATAGTGAATATATCATCATTCAATATTATCAAATCATAGGTAATTACTTATTTACTCACTTATTAAGAATCAACAACGGTTTTTATTGCTATAAAACACATTCAACACATTTTACTGTGATAAAAATGTTGCTTTTTCAGAATGAGATAAAAACCATCCAGAAGCTTCTGATTTGGTTACATTTCTAGAAAAGGGGATCTCAAAGATTTGAAGTTATATACACATATTAAATGAGTCTGAGAATTAACTCTGTACCACAACCAGGAACGGTAGGTAAAGTATTAATTCAGAATGTAAAAAAAGAAGTGTAACAAAAATGTTGCTTAGAATCAAAAATCCTACTTAAAAATACAGAGACTATAAAATTGAAGACATCAAATGTGTGCTTATCTGTGGTACTAAAAATGGGTGCTTTAGAAATATTTTCAATCCTAAAAATCTGATGCTTTACAAGTATGAGAGTAGCTGGGAACAAAAGAAAAGCTCTCAATATTATAACCTCTCCAATGGCTAAAAGTAATTAGACTGACAACAAACAGAATTCATCTCTAGAGCAGATCTTGTAACAAATTTTTTTAAAGTCCATTTAAGTAAACATCATGCATTTAATGTATAAATTTGATATGACTTTGAAAAGTGTCTTAAAATGCATGAGCTTTAACATAGGAAGTTATGGAGAGTAGTATACAACTTAAGACTAATGTAAAATAAGAACATACATTAAAGCGCAATAGGAAAATTTAGTGATAAAACATCAAAAACTCTGGCATTTAAAACATACTTTTTATTTTTAAAGGTCAAAAATTAACATACCAGAAAAATACACATATCATTTGAAGCAGTTACACGCATTCTTGTCACACTATTCCATGCATAGTTCTGTAAATCTATGAAGTTCTAACTATGTAATGGAGTGGTAACTTAAAAACAGTATCAGTTCCACTCAGGGATTTAAGATTAACTCAGCTATGCATTAACTAAGTGCTTATTTCTTTTTGTGTTTGCTAAATTGTACAATTTGGATTGAAAGCATCCAGGACCTTATGAGCAGATATTGAAAAAGGAACGTCCCTCACAAGAGAAGGATCAGAAGATGGTTGTTTCTGTAGCTATTAACATCTGAAGCTGAAAGTTTCAGGCCATTGTAATATAAAGGCATGAAACTGAAGTGAGCTATCAGGAATTAAGATATTCAATAGCACCTGAGGACACACATATTTTTAACCTTGTATCAGGTGCTCCTTTTACACTGAGGTTCAAGCTAAGGCATCTTTACCTCACAGCATGAGCATATATAAGCAGTGATGACAGTGCAGACAATATGCTATAAATTAATTTGTGTGGCACATCCTACAGCCTGAGAATTTTACTGGTTCTCTTTGACAGAGAAAAATAATCAAGAAAAATCATAAGGAAATTATTTGTGTATTACACTAAGAATTTTGGTAATTAAAGGAAACTAATTATAAATCAATTTGTCAAAACAATTTCTATATTCTTAGATATTCTCTATGGTAATCTCATGAATGGCTTTGCATTGTCTCGCATAATGTAAGCTGAGAGATAACGAAAGAAGAAATCTTTGATAGACTTAGTTGTTAAAACTGGAAAAAAAGTTTGTAGGCAAGAACACCACAATCGGTCTTCATCAATACCTGTCAAAAGTAGCTCAAATTAGCACAGCTTTCTACATCCCTTGGTAATGGTATCAATAGATGTTATAGAAAACGTTGAAGTATGCAGCTATCGAAACTCAAATTTCAAATTTGAGCAGTTTAATTCACATAAATTAAATGCAAAGTAAAAAAAAAAAATTCTTGCTCACCAGAAAAGAACTTTTTAATAAGCTTAATTGGCACCATCACTTTTCCTCATTAGAACAGGACAATTTTTTTTCAGTATTAGAAAATGAACAGAATAAGATAGCATCTAATATAGTTTATTCATCTCTTGCCAAATGTTTTCAGTACAGAAGCTGAAAAATATAATGATTTTAATTAATCTGATGTTTGTACGTGATGAGCACGTACTCTTTCTCATTGAAGCCAATAGGAGTTACTAAAGCTGGGCAGCTTTGAACAGAAGCACAGTTCCCATACTTACAGATTTTGGTAGGTAACTCTAAGCTACCTGCATTTCAAAACATTGGTCTCTGGGAATCTACATCTCTCTAGTGACAGCACACCTACAATTCCAAAACTTAAATCCTTACAAACTGACATACCCACGATAAATAGACTTATTTTGGTTTTATGTAGTGCTGGGGAAGCACGTGATGCTAAGCGATAAAAAAAATGTGCTAATCCCCTACCACAAATTCTACCCCAAAGAGCTGAAAGGGCACAAGCTGTAAAGCACGGGAAATGCAAAACACAACACAACACAGACAGAATGACAAGTGGTTGGTATTACTGAAATGCGTTACAAAATAGGTGGATTTTCTGGAGCTTTTTGAAGGAGGATAGTGAAGGATCTTTACGTACGTTAATTGGGAGGCTGTTCCATGTGTAGGAGGCAGCGTGGAAAAAGACACAAAGTTGGGAGTGAGCAAAAGAGACAAAAGGGGAATTAAGAGCGATGCTTGGGAAGTGCTGACGGTAAAGGAAATGAGGATCAAGGTTAAGCCAGAATCAAGAGTGCCTTGAACATGGCCAACTTTATGCAAGGGAGGAAAATATTCCTGGCAAAGGTTTAAGAAGTGAGGAAACATGGGTAACTATACAGGAAAGGAGAAATGATTTGTGTAGCATGTCCCATAAAAAAAAACCAAAACAAACATGAGAAAGTAAGGAAGTGGGAGATCAGTTCACACCAAATACCTTGTTGTAACAAACATTTCAGTCTTAAATAATAGAAAATAATTAACTTCACTGAGATTTTATCCAATACTCAGCCAGATGTGAGGAGTGGTAAGAACAAGCTGCAGTGATTCTTCATCTAAAGCTCTTAAATCATGTGAAAAATCATTATGTAGTGTAAAAACCACACATCCAAAATAAAATCAAATGGAAAAAGCTAGAAAAGAGGTGTTTAAGACATGGCAATAAATGTAGCAGTAAAATGTGTTTGTTGTGATTGTTCTATAAAATGGGTAAACTCATTTGATGCACAAATAAATTCTGTCATACAGAGGTTTAGCTGATGCGTTCCTCTTTATCATCACTGCCACCAGTTACAAGAAATACAAAGCTCTCAGTTTACACTGAACATTGATGAAGAAAACTTTTAAAATACAGAAGTGCTAGCCCATAAGAGAAATAAAATTAAATATTTTTTAAGCTTATGAAAGTGAATGAAACATCATGACTTTACTTGTTCTGAGCCAGAAGTGCCTTTTTGCATGGTCTAAGTTTACTTTCCTTCCAACTACAATTTTGTGTCATTTACAAGTACATATTCATCAGCTCAAGATCTAAGTACAAAAAAACTGAGCAATTTGTCACTAACATTAGTAATAGCAACTTCTATATTACTGAAGCCTTAAAAAGTAATATTGGAATTAATATTAACACTTCCTCTCCTTGCCAATATTTTCAAAGGAATTATAAACATATTGATTATTCTTAGTGTTTGATATCTTCTGGGTTTAAACACAAATCCAGGTTCACGGAACTCACATCTTCTTAACAGATGTGGGGCTTGAATATTTGCATCTGAGTTCAACTCAAGATGTCATTTATGTCATCCTCTCCAACAGATTAAATCAAATCATACTATATTTTGCTGGAAACTTAAAAACAGACATCTAAGTCTCTATGCCTCTTTCATGTAGTGATAGTTCATCAGTAGACCCAATTAGCTTACTCTTCTTTATTTTCTTTCCACTCATACTGTCCCAAATTCTCTGTTTAGAATATAGATGATTGGATGTTGGTGACTTGCACTATATCTCAGTTAGAGAACTCTGTAAAACGGTCCCTCTCTTTTTTTTTTCATTTGTGCATGTGCAAGATGGCAGAAAAAAATATTAAATAGATTTCCAAACTCAGTTTTAGAAGATCTCAACTCAGAAATGCTTTCTTTAACTCCAATTAAAGCTTGTAGGAAAATCCTTTTCACTTCAAAATGCAATCTGACTTTGAAAAATTCTACATAGTCTTTTGCACGTTTTAAAGTGTAAAAATAACAGGATGTCAGTTACACCCTTAATTACAGAGCAAGAAATTTATGCATCTCTGCCTATATAATGGTATGTCACACACAAGTCAGTTTGAACAAGCTCTTATTACAAACACACAGGGTAATCTGTACTTACCCACAAATCATGCTCAGCATAATCAAACAGCAGCCAAACCTTTCTGTCACTGTGAGAAAGGAAAACCTTCTGCAATGCAATCACGTTTGGGTGCTTCAACTCTCGTAAAAGCTGCAGAGAAACAGAGAAGTTCTTGTTACTTCCGTGCTTGTACAACACAAACACACCAACAAAACCACCAAACAGGTCAAATAGCAAACAAGGGATCCTTAAACAGGCCCTAGAAGAAAAGATGCCACTGATTCAGCACATTATCTTAAAAATATCTAAATAACGACATGGGCAGCCTCCACGTCATGGGTTGCTGTTCTGTCAGCACAGCTGCCTGTCACTACCTACTTTCTCTGTCCCACACTCAGCACACAGCTGCCCATCCCACCTATCCATCCCACACTTGCCAACAGTGTCTATCTTAAAAGATGTTATCACAGAATCAACTCTGTTGGAAAAGACCTCTCAGATAGTCGGTCCAACCTATTGACCAAACACCACCATGTCAACTCAACCATGGCACTAAATGCCACATCCAGTCTTTCCTTAAACACCTCTGGGACAGTGACTCCACCACCTTCCTGAGGAGCCCATTCCAAAGCTCAATCCTTTTTATCAATAATGACACACAAACATAACTGTTTTCTTGTCAAAGATGAACATCAGGATTTAAGGATGCCAGGAGGAAGCTTGTGCAGCTGGTCCAATTCTTTGTGTGGACAACACAGTTCCTGATCACCACATATTTATTTTATTACAAACAATTCTCTTTTGCTTTGGATCCCTGACTCACTTGGCTCGAAAATCATGGGCTGTTCTCAGAACTAAGGGTGCTTTCAAAGAAACGTTTACCAAAATGTTTTTTCTAATGGTTGCTTCAACTACTGTCCCGTAATCCAGAAATAAACCCAAGCTTATTTACTGCTTGCCAGAAAGAAAACTAGGTCTCATGACTAATTAGACAGCACATTAAAGCAGGCACCGCTGCTGAAGTTACCCTTCTGCCAGATTAAATTAGTCTCAGGAGGTGCTGGGAAGCAGTACTCCCAAAAATATAATTTCCATGGAATCAGTTTTCCTCCCCTCCCCCTTTCCACACATCAGTCACAAGAATGATTGATAATTTCTGTTTTATCTGGAAATTGCTTGCATCTGCAGCACTAGTATATGCATTGCCAAGAATCAATTTATAATGGCGAAATACTAAATGGAGTAGGTTCCAAGGCCCATTCAAGAGAAATGAATCTGCCTTTTTTTCACCTTACAGTAAAAGACTCGAGATGTTTATTTTAGGGGAAATAGAAAAAATTAATTTTAAATTATATTATCCTTTGGCTATACAGGCATCTGTCAAGACAAGAAATCTCCTAAAGAATATAGCTGCTTAAATCTATTCCTGTTTTTCAGCAAATGAAAGAAACATTTTTTTCTACCATGCAGGAAGCGTTTTCTTCTTTTTGTCTCTTTCCTTCTTTCTCTAAACCTGAGCTTTCCTTTCTCCAGGCTAAACAACCCCAGTTCCTTCAGCCTCTCCTCATAAGATTTGCTCTTTGTTACATTCTGGCTGTCAAGACTGGGTGCCACAGCAGCTGGGCCTTCAGCAGGAGCCAGACCAAGGAAATGTTGGCTCCAGAAGTTCAACACACTTTTTCAAGAACAGGAGCTCTGCTCTACCTATGCTGGACTTGCAATGGTGCTCAACACCAAGACAAGATCAGAAGTGATATTGTAGAGTACAAGTGATGAGCATGAGCCACAGAAATGCTGGTAAGATTTATGTCTAAAAATAATCTTGTCTAGAAACAGACTACAGCAGAAGAGGGAGTGACCGTAAGGACTGAGCTGCTGTAGCTCATAGGTACATTGTGGTGGGGGAAAAAAAAGGTGGTTTTTTCCCCCTGGAGTTAAAAAAGGGTAACCCCCGAGTAGGTGATGTCTCTCTTGGTGTTGACCCAATCAGCGCTCCTGCAAAATTAAAACATATCATACCAAACCAGAAAAGAAGGATGATGAGGCAGTTGAAGAGGAGAGTGGCCATGTTCTGAAGCCACGAGGAGAAAGGGGCAGGAGCCCTGCTTGGGGGCCACGGTCCTCCAGCCCCCGGCTGGGGTCATAGAAACTCAGAAACAGTGCTAAACTGGACCAAGGTCTGTAACTGAGAAGCTGGGAGTCTTTCTCCTGTGAGTGGGCAGCAGGAACGGCGGCAGAGACAGCAGTGAACAGAGGCTGTGGCAGAAAACCAAGAGATAAGAAGAAGCAGCAAAGCCGGCATGCAGCCAAGCAAGAAGACACAGAGATGTCTAATGGAGAGAGAGTGAGAGAGAACTAAACTCTACAGACAGAGTTTTGGGGTAAGAACTGAACCAAAAACCCTCAAAACCCCTTTGAGACACCTCCTAGAGAGGAGAGGTGGACTCCCACTTGAGGGGAGTCTTGAAATGCAGCAGTACCGGAGAGAGGAGCTGAGAAGCTCAAGATGTTCTGGAAGCTGGACCGGGACAGCCAAATGGAATGCGGGGGAAGTGGCCTGACCCCCCGCTGCTGCTGCCAAGCTGGCAGCCTGAGACAGAGCACAGGAGCTCTGGTAGAACGCTTGAGGCAAAGGCTTTCAACTGAAAGCTGCCCGAGACGTTCTGACTCAGAGGCAAACCCCTGAGGAAAGGGACCATCACGAAGACCCCTGCACTTCATGATACGACGTGGGGAAGCGAGCCTGTACCTGCAACCGCAGTCTACGGAAGAGAAAGAGACCTTCGACTGGAAGTCGAAGAGCCGAGAGGGGTGAGAGAAGACCCCTTGCGTGTAATGGAAAGAGATCCAGCTACAGCTGCTGCATGGAAGAAGAGAGACACTGTTGCCCTGAAGGTGGAAAGGATCTTTCCTTCTTCCCTCCTGGACTTTTACTGGAGGGAGAAGAAATTTGATCCAATGTAAATACTGCTTTATCATAAGAGAAATAGTTAAGATTGCATATATAATGTATTATAATATTTATTTGTGTAGTGATTGTAATATAATTCCCTTCCCCCCATATTGAGTCTTGTGTTGTGTCTGGAAAACCTCTCTGACACTGAGGTGAGTTGTGGGAGGGGGGGCTTGGACTCGAGAATTAAATTTTGAGGATCTCAAACCACCACATACATAAAGAGTGGAGATGAGCAGAGTCATTCAAAATGCACCGGGAAGATGCGATCAGAAAGGAATACATGGCAGAACCAAATACACGGCTATGGAAATAAAAACCCAGCAAATTTGAGACAAGTGTTTCAAAGACAAGTATTAATCTAAGGCTTACCTAAAAAGCAACCAGGGATTTCGGAAACCACATTTTCATGAAAGCAGACACGGGGACGCCAATAGTGTGAAAACATGGGAACATATTTGGAGCTACTTGCATCGCAATTGTAGCAACCATCTACCCTAACGACTTTTATGTTTGACTAGAATTTTGCCAATATTTAACTTCGAAACACGCCACGTACATCTAACAGGTAAGTCACCACAAGTCACCTTCTTATGATACAGCTGTATATTCATTCACCACCATAAAAGCATTTCACAAACGTGCATTTTAGCCATACCTAGAACCACATGAACAACTTCAGAGATGTGGTGAATTATTGTCTCTAGATTTCCTGCAGCACAGATTGCTTTAAACTTTAAACATACAAAATAGATAAATGAAACATAATACTAGTACTGTTTTTCTGAAATCTTATTTAGAAGTAAATCAATTTGGAGACTTGATTAATTCAAATCTAAAGTTAGAAGGAAGAAATCAGTACATTGTCATAGTAATTGAAAGATCCCAGTGTACCTGACAACATTTTATTACAAAATAACAACCTGAACATAAAAAGGATCTGCAACTACTCGAATTTATTACTAAATGAACACAGTATCATATTTTAAGAGTCTTTTAGCTTAATGTTGCTCTAAAATTTAAGTTCCATCAAATCCAACTTGTGGTAAAATGCTAATAAAAACTTGTGTCTCGAGTGAGTTACGGTACATTTCTTTCTTGGTAACAGTACACAAAGCAGTTTAGGCAAAAAGACATTGAGAAGGACATCATTGTGAATTGTCAACATCTGCGAAACTTAACTGTCCTGTTCAGTGGGTTTCATGTAAACATATTAGAGGATGATTATTATTATCATTATTATCAAGAGAATTGTACAAGCATCTCTGCTTATTACCTTTCTTAGCTAATGGCACAGTCTGAAGTTTTAAAATGCTGCATTTGGATAGCCCAAATAGCGTGGAACAGCTTGTAGGACTCCCGGGCAGCTACACACTACATGTAGAATTGCTAGTAATTTCTTCAGTTGTCTGATGAATAAGTTCTCTCATGAGGGACACTGAGAATTTCCCTCACAAGTCAATGTCTCTTATAGCAGGGGAGGGATGGAGGTCATAAGGGAAAGTCTCTGATGCCTGAGAAAAAGTTAAGTTGGCAACAGAATTGATATAGGAGCTTGAAGCATTGGAAATGCAAAGTGTCAGCAGTCATGCTGAGTTAGACTTTGCATGGAAAGTCAAAATAGACAGTAAAGATTGTCTAGGCAGAGAAGGAGCACAAGAGAGTGCACAAGAATAAGAAAGTAGAAGTAGGATATCTTAAAACATAAAGACAAAAATAAAAATCTAAAATATTTTACATCAGGTTTTAATAACAGTTATGATACTGATCATGGAAAGAACAAACACATAATGGAAATGCTTCACATTTCAGAAAGTGGAAATTAACACAAGTCAGATACAAGCAAAATTCAGAGGTGATATCAGATGATTAGCAAATACATCCCATACATTCATAAATGAGAAATGGAAAGGAGACAAGGCATTTGCAGACTTGTTAACCCAAAGCATGCAAAAAAACCATTTTGAAACGCTAAACATAAAGAAAAATGTGTTTTAAAAAAACTATCCACTATCCTGATTTTCTTATCCAGTAAGTGATTTTGAACATAGATCTTCTGCTTGTTTTGAAATTTTAACCTTATAATAACTCTAAGTACTTCGTCAGATGGAAAAGATGGGAATAAGTTTGAGGTGAGCAAGAAACTACCTAAAAAGGCAGCCAACAATGGGATACATTTCAAGGCCAAGTAGTTCTA